AAGTTCACGTCATGACGGTTAAAACGGCTGTTAACGTCCATGACGTGGTCAATATGTCATGACAGCGGCTGCGAAACGACAGCAGCAACGACGGCAGCAACGACAGCTGGTGACAGCTGGTGACAGCTGGTGACAGCTGGTGACAGCTGGTGACAGCCAGCTGCCAAGGAGGAGTGAAAGGCACCAGGAACAGTGACAGCCATAGTGACAGTGACAGTGAAGCCAGTGAATGCCAACGACAGGCGGTGACAATGTCAGCGCGGGGCCCCGCGAGTGACAGCGACAGCGACAGCGACAGCGAGGCAGCGCCACAGCCCACAGGCACAGCCGTGAGGCAGCCATAGCCCTCGTGAATGGGCCCAACCGCCCACCCACCCATCTGTGCAGTACACCCCATGGACTAAAATAAGACACCGGTGCGCGTGGATGTAGCTCTCAACGCCTGATGCACAGCAGCGTTTGTACGTCTCACACATTTTGCAAAACTCCTGCTCCTCTGCCTCAGAATTTCTCTGTGTAGGGTGAGCCTGCTTTCTTGTAGCAGAGCAGAGCTCTCTACATGAGAGTTCCTGATCAACGCCACTTGTGGCTCGGCAATGGCCACCGTGGCCGGTGCGCTTTGACTCGCACAGTGAACGCCAGCCACGCGCGCCGTGCCTTCCTCCAGCCCACACGCGCGCATGTGCATGCCATTGCTCACCTCAAACTATCAGCAATGGCAGGTTGCCTTTCTGTGAAGACTGCAGGCCATGAGGTCAGAGCCAACCAAGCGGCCTCCGTAAGAAGGCACTTCTTGCGTGTGACGTGTGTGTGCTCTCACGTGGACGTGCACTTGTGGACGGGTGCGTTGTGTGTGGTGTGTGGTGTGTGGTGTGCTGGTGGTGGTGCGTGTGGTGTGCTGGTGCGAGTGCTGCCACAAAAAGACCCGATAGAGCCTCACCTTGATCCTCGTCTCATTCACTGTGAATGAATGGGGTTGTGAGCCAGGGGGAGCCAGCGGCGCTGGCCGGTGTAGGTCTTGACAAAGAATAGCGGCGTGCAAACGTCTCGAGGATATGTCTACCTTGAATAGCGCTAGACCTGAGAAATTTTTTTCAGAGAGTCGACGGGCGCTTGTGATCTTTCCGCCTGCGTCGGCCCCACTTGGTGTGCTGGAACTTGGAACTTGGTGCCACTTGGTGCCAATTGGAGCCGGCGAGAGGCCCTGACCTGCTTGCCTCATGCGCACCATGCGTGTGCTCGGAGCTTTCATGTCGCCGCTCTTTTGACACGAAGAAAGTGGGCTGATCCGCCGACGGCCGAGCGTGTGGGATAGCCAGCTGGCTGGCATTGGAGCTCTTCTCGTGACGAACCTGAGCTTATTCCAGCCATAGTCATCGTCTACGATCCACATGCAGACTGCCGGTGACAGCATGCACCTTGAGAGGTTCAACCCGAGGTGTGTTGCTCAATGCTCTGCGCGTTTGCTTGTGATCGTGGATTTCAAGGTCCCAATCCTCGCGGCTGAGGATTGACACCGTTCGCTCGCGTGAGATTTTTGAGCGGCAGATGAACCAGCGCTGGAGCCCATCACGGCACATGCTGGAGGAAGGAGGGCAAGGGTTTTGCAGATTCTCCGACTCACGCCCGCTGCTGCTGACCGTGCGTGGCTACTGTTGAGAGGGTTTCTCATGTGGCGTCGGGCGTGCGAGTGAGCGGTCTCGCGCGCATGCATCTATATCTTGAGTGTCCTGTCTCTCTCGTTAGTGGCACCACACACTGTCCTGCGGGGGTGCTCATGACAGCAGCAATGACAGCAGCAATGACAGCAGCAATGACAGCAGCAATGACAGCAGCAATGACAGCACAGCAGCAGCAACGACAGCGATGACAGCAGCAATGACAGCAGGAATGACAGCTGCGCAATTACAGCAGCAGTGACAGTTGGACCAGTCGGGGATGGTTACGACAGCAGCAACGACAGCAGCAACGACAGCAGCAACGACAGCTGGTGACAGCTGGTGACAGCTGGTGACAGCTGGTGACAGCTGGTGACAGGTAGGTGTCACTGTCGCTGTCGTTTGCTGTATGACAGCTGGCAGCTGTCATGACAGCGGCTAACCGTCGTGACAGCGGCTAACCGTCATGACGTGAACTTTCCATAGTCTCTCATCCGCCGCCGCGAGAAGCTGCAGGCCTGCAGCGCGACTGACAGCGCTGACAAACGGGCAGCGCTGGGCCTGCAGCGACAGCCACGACCGCGTCGACCAGCTCGCCTCGTCCTCGTGCTGCCGCTTCGAGAGCTTGTCCTTGACCTTGTCCTTCATCTGGTAGAACAGCCGCTTGACCGCGTTGCAGTGTGAGTGTTAGAGTTGTTTGGTATTGTTAAGGTATTGCTAAAAATTCTTGCATTTTTGCTCCCGGCTTAGGGAGCAAGCAAGCCCACTCAACCCCAAGTACTCACCATTCTTACAGTGGTGTAGCTTGTGAATAGGCTGCAGCCTCTGCTGGGGCGGAATGCGCGGGGTTTTCGGCGCGATGCCCTCGGCGAGTACACGCTACAGCTGTGCCGCACGCTCTCCTGCGCGCGCGTGACGTGTGGGACGCGTGCGCTGCGCTCAAACGTCGCGATTTGGCGATAGGCGCTCGAGCCGGCGCACAGCGGATAGGTGCGCCGCGCAGGGGGGTTTAAAAGGGTTCTAAAAGGGGGTCTTGTTTTAGGCCCCCCCCCCGGGTTTCGGGGAGGGGCCCCCCCCATAAGAGGAGGGGGGTTTTTTGGGGTCCAACGCCCGAGGGGGTCTCTTTTTTTTTGGGAGAAAAAAAACCCCTTTTTTTAAACGGGGGGGGGAGGGAAACCCCCGCCCGTTTTTTTGGTGGGGGGGGGGCCAATTTTTTTTCCCCCCCCCCCCCCCCCCCCCCCGCGGCCGCCCGCCCGGCCGCCCGCCCTCAGGCCTTGCCCCTCCGCAGGCGCGGGAGCGCTCGCCGGCGAGCACCTCCTACCTCTCGTCGCCCGGCTGCTCCCTTCCCCCGTCCCCCCTCTCCTGACGCGCACCCCGCGCAGACGGCGCTCCGGGACAGACGGAGCAGCGACCGCGCGCGCGGTCGCTGCTCCGCCCCTCCGTCGCGCGCGCCGCGCGCGCGCGCTCTGCCGCCACTGCCGCCGCGCCCCCCTCGCCGTCTGTTTCCCGCCGTACTCGAGTATGGTGTGCGGTGCGCGCACGCGCAGCGCACACAGCAGCACCTCCCCACACCCCACCCACCCCGTCGCGCCGCCGCCGCCGCCCCCGCCGCCGCCGCCGCCCCCGCTGTAGGTGTAGCGTTTGGGGGGGCGACTGGCGACGGCAAAAATGCAAGCCCCGCCCCTGGCCACTGTCTCAAACAAACTCTCCCAACCACCCGAAGAAGAGACACGCAGACGACCCGGACCCGCCGAACGAAGGTTTCGAACAGGTACATCTGTACGTCCGTGTCCGAGCGCGAGAGGGCGTGCGCGTAGTCCGCCTTCTTGTACGCCACGTAGCCGCCGCCGTCCAAATTTCAAGCAATAATAAAATTGGGTAAAGAGAAAAATTAGCAGAGACCGCGCGGCCCAGCACTACAGTTGTAGGATCCTACTATCGGTGCAGGACTCAGAGGTCGCGCACGACACACCACCAACAAGCGGTACATACATGAGGCGGCTGCTCGTGCCGACCGTCCTCATCGTTGCCGCCGAATCGCTCACCGAGGCGTCACAGATCGCCACTGGCCCCGGTGCTGGCACTGGTGCGTACGAGCGCTCGTCACATACTGCAACCTGCCTCGCTGCTGCTCGGCTCCGCGGCGGCGGTCTCAGCACAGCAGGCACGACCGTGGCGGCGCTTGTCGCCTCGCTGGGCGCACTAATAGCGCTCAACATTGCGCAAAACGGCGGCACCTCCCATCCTCCGCCTTCCTGCTCTGATGCCGCCGGCCTGCTTGCGCTGACGTCCAAGGCGGATGCCGTGGCGCTGTGGCGGGCCTCGCCCGCTCCCACGATCGGCGGGTGGAGCGGCGAGTGGGAGGGGAGGCTGCTCCCGCTCGGTGTGCTGGCGCCCGTGTCTGCACTCATAACGCACAACCTATTCGGGCCCGCCTCGCGGTGGTCTGGCAAAGCCTTCAGCGCGGACGGCGGCAGCGGGGCCAACCTCTTTGAGCGCGGACCTCCGAGGCGCGCCTTCCGCGCATCCGTCGCGCCGTCCACGCTCGACGGGAGGCCCGTGCTGAGCCTCGACTACGCCGCGGCGGGGGAGCCGCTGTGGGGCACAGTCCTCGGCATGCGCGACGAGCTGCGAGAGGTGGCGCCCGGCGTGCTGCTCGGCCTGGGCGGGATGCGAGCGTCGGGAGGCGTGCGCAACGCTGCGCCGTTTGTCCTTGTGCGCAAGACGGCGTGACGATCTCCGCGGGCCTGGTCGGCGGGCTCGCTTACACACGCACACGTGGAGCTGCATGCGCACACAAGACGGGTAGCGGGTAGGGGTTGTGAGACGTTTGCATTTCCGTAAGAGTTGGGAGACTACTTGTTTTGTAGTGTTGGTCATGGAGCGAGAGACACGTGCCTTCTCCTCACACACCTACGTATAGCGCCGCGCATATTGGTGGGCGACCGGACACAAGCATGAGACATAAAACTCCTCTCGCAGCTCGCCGTGGAGCGCAACTGGTGGAGCTTCAGCGTCAACCCGACGCCCATGGGCAAGCAGTTCATTGTCCAGCCCCAGTCCCAGTGGGAGAGGGACAGGGAGCGGCAGCAGGCCAAGGAGGGCAGTGCCCCACCGCAGCCTGTGCCCCTGCTGCCACCACCGCCGCGGCACCGCCCGCAGCACCGCCTGCCGCCGCTGCAGCTCCGGCCGCAGCACCGCAGGCACACCCGCAGCACCAACAGGTGCAGCAGCCCCAGCCCAACGAGTCGCCCGAGGGGTGGACCAGGGTTGGGAAGGGCGGCATGCCGGACAGGTTCACCATGAGGAACCCTGGCCGCAAGCCGCCGGGCAAGGCGGTCAAGCGCAAGCCTGACCGCCAGCCCGCACCCAAGGGAGGTGGACCCCCACCCCCCTCTCCCAAGGTGAACAAGAACAGGCTGAGCGCGCTGGGCGCTGGCCCTTCTGGCACCAGCGGGAGCCACGAGCGCGCACCGCCGCGCTCCCCCTCCCCCTCCTCGCCGCCTGCCAAATCACCGCGGCCGTCTGTGCCTGCTTCCGAGTATGACTCCGAGTTCGACTTTTCCGACGCTGAGGCGCAGGATAGGACGGCAGGGGTCGTACACGACGCAGTTCAGCAGGCTGTGATGCAATACGGCTATGACGACGAGCTCTTCCAGGCGTGGAGGGACGGCGAGTACGGCGAAAGGACTTGCCGGAGGAGGTGGTGGCTATGGCTTTGGACCTTTGCGAGAGGTGGCGAGCGGAGCAAGAGCGGTGTAGGCGCGTCCACGCGGCGCAGCGGCTCTCCCGCGACCCCGGCCCCTCTCATAGCCGCAGCCGTAGCCGCAGCCCCAACTCTTGCCGCTCTTCCGTGTCGGGTTGTGACGAGGGGTGAGGGGACACGGATTGAAGATCCCTACACCAAGATCGTGCAGGGCGGGGACACATGTCCCTAAATCCCATCTCGTCTCAGAGTTTGCCCGTTTTATTTATTTATTATTTATGACATAAAACTCACAAGAAGAGAGAGAGAGTGAGAGTCACAGAGAAAGCTCGCAGAGTCCAGAGACGTCTCGCTCTGATCTCTGTCCATCTCTCTCGTGCGCACACACGGAACCACAACGCTCAAATCAGAGACAGGCCAGCAAGAGACGTCAAGAGGAAGAGCAACTTAGCCAAGAGACGTCACGTTTTGCCCAGAGACGTGGCTAACTTAAACTTTGTAATTTAGCGAAAAATAACGCCTCGCACCGCCGGGGAAACCAGCGCAAGGGGGGCGCGTCCCCTCGTGTGTCGTGATAGCCAGAGCAGCTTGCCGACGGGACGTGCTCATAAAAGGTTAAAAGAAAAAACGAACGGCGCCTCGGTGACGGCGTTCTCGGCACCCACTGCGCCGAGAAGGGTGCATGGTGCAGTGCATTGACGTTTCTTAAACGGAGTCGCTTAGGCGGCTCCGGAGAGAGAGAGACTCGGCTCCGGTGGTGTGCCGGTGTGTAAAAGAAAGAAAGAAAACAGACAACCCAAGGGAGGGATGGGAGGACGGCACGCCGCCACCACACAGGGATTTTAAGGAGAGGGGTGAGGTGCACTAGCCGTCGCCCACCCTTGGGTGTGCCGGTGTGTGTGACAGTGTGCTGTGTGGATTGATTTTTTTTGAATGGCGCCTGCAGAATGGCGCTGCAGAACGCCTGTGCACGAGGAAACGATAATGGGCTCGCTTAGCCTGTGGGGCAAGTTCGCCAGCTTCCACGACTCGCGCGAGATCAACCAGCCGTGCCGGCACGACAACGACCCGCACGACAACGTGAGTCCCCCGCCCCGCCCGCCTGTGCCTCTGAGCTCGATGCGACTCCTCCTGCGTCTGCACACTGCGCCGGTGCGACTGCTCCCGCCCTGCCAGGTGCACTGCGGACAGCCGATTAGGGTGTGTGTCCGACGAGCGCGAGACCTCCCTCCCACGGACACGTGGCCCAAGAACACGCTGCCAGACAGGCGTCGCCGCGCCCGGGCGGTAGCTGCCACGCCGTCGCTCTTCTCCCTCACCCGCCGGCTCTTACCGACGCAGTTACGTGCTCCTCACCTTGGTTGGCGGACGAGGAGGCCGACAGGAGTGCCGCTCGCCTGCGGAGCCAAATACGGCCAACCCCGTCTACGACCTCTGCTGCGACATGGAGAGCCCCGAGGCCGGCCTGCTGCGGATTCAGATCTTCGACTACGACGAGTTCTCGCACCATAAGGAGATTGGCGCCTGCAAGCTGCGCCCAATCCCGACGCCGCTTCACTGGTGCGAGCTGCGGCGCGAGGCGGACCACCAGGTCGAGCTGGGCGCAGATATCGAGGTGAGGCGTGGGGGGGCGGAGGGAACGAGGGGAGAGAAGGGGAGGGGTGAGCAGAGGGAGGGCTGGGTGGGATCAGGGACGGAGATACGCGAATGCAGCACCTCAAGGCGGCGGGGCACTCTAGGGGGCACTGCACGGTTGCTCAGTTGGTCTGAGCGCCAGCGCCATATAGTTCACTCTTCGATACAGGTGATGGTGGCGCTGCGACCGTCCGATTCGGCTCGCTCCGGCGGGCTGCCGCCCGCCATGCCTCCGCACCCGCACTTGCCGCCGCTCTCGCCGGATGGTTACACCGACGTGAACGCCGACGTCATCTTCCCGTTGATCGTCTTCCTCTTCATCTTTGTCGCGGTGGCGTACGGGACGGCGCGGTCGGTCATCCCGAGCGTGCTGCCGGGGAACGGGATGGTGGAGCTGCAGGAGGAGGGCGAGCCGGGCGGCGGGCCGATGGAGCCGGCGGCGGAGATCTCCAGCAAAGACCTCGACGACCTGAAGGCGCAGAGAGCAGCGGCGCCCTCGCCTCACCGATCGCAGCAGCGCGGGAGGCTCGCGCTCGAAATGTGAGGCAGGCAGGCAGCGGGAGCGAGTGGATTTTGAGCGAGAGTAACTAAGCTCAGCCGTAAGCGTCCCTCGGTCTCGTCTTTTCCCCATGGGGTATGAGATATTGGCGCGCTCGCGCGCGCGCGGGGCACGAGGCGGAAAGAAGAGCCGGTCAGTGGACAGCGCCCACTGCCACATGCCGCTAGAGAGCAGCGGTGCCGCCGCGCGCGCGCAGGCGCCAGGCCGCACCCGCAGGGCCGCACCGCGCACGTGTAGGTGTCTCTCGTGGTCGTGCTCGGGTGTCTCTCGTTATTACATAAAAACGGACAGATTCCAGAGAGATGGGTAAGAAGGCGGGTCCCCGAGCGTCACGTGTCGTCGACTAACTTGAGGCTTGTCTTTTTGAGTCCGTTGGGGTATGAAAGTGTGTGTTTGTTGACCCAACATTTGTGTCCAACTGCAACTCCAAGGCTAGGGCGGGGCTCAACCAGTTAACTAGTTGAGCACTTGAGCACTTGATAGGGCCGATTCCGCATGGTACGGGACCCCTCGATCGTCTCACCCTCCCTCACTGGTGTGTTCATTCGGGGGGGCTATAACAAACACGGTACAGGATCGAGGTGCACGCTGCCGAAGCAGTTAACAGCAGTTAACTGTATGTGGACGCAATCGAGCTATATGCACAGCTGTACACCCAGGACACCACCGTACACGTAACTAGATAACAGGTGCTAACTGGCAGTTTTGAAACTACTATCACTATCGAGTTGCGAGTTTCAAAACTGTTTTTGCCAGTTAACTGGCTGAATTTTTGGACGCAGAATCGGCCGTCATGTCTCATGAGCCCTCAAACAAAGCCTCAAAGGCATTGGCGGTAAGGCTGCGGCGACGAGAGAACCCCCACTAGACCTTCCCTAGAAGTTGACGACAAGAGCCATCTTGGTGTTTCTGATGACAAGAGTGCTCAAGAGTGCTCAAGATGTGCAAAATCAAACCTCAAAAGCCCTAAATGTGACATGTTTGGGGACCGTGACACGTCGCACCTGTGGGGGCAAGCTCCGGACCCAAACCGGGCTCCACTGCCGACCACAGACCAGTTAACTAGCCTCTTAACAACCCGTCTGAAAAACCCAACCTGTTAACTAACAGGCAGTTTTGAAACTACTATCAAGCAGTTTTGGAAACCCGCCTGTTTGGTCCACCCGCCTTATAATTGTGTCCAACTCTGTGTGTCTCACACACACGCACACACACAGCTCAACCGTCACCGGGAACCGGACATGTGGGCGGAGCGGTAGAGGGGGGAGGAGTGGGCCATCTCTGGTCGGGGAGACGCGGTGTTGGTCTTTCTCAGCTAGCAACTACGTCGAGCAAGGCGTCCTCTGGCCTGGGCCGCTGTTTGAAGCCCCCAGCATCAAGTGGCGTCCCTGACTAATCAACCAGGGGCACCGGCTGGAGGATGGCCTTGGTGGGCGCGTTGTCCGGCCACGAGGGAGTGCCAGAGTGGCGCCAAGCATACGACGGGGGCGGAGATTCTGGAGAGGGAGACGGTGGCATGTGGACGGTGGGCTGCGGCGGGTCGCTCGCTTGCCTCGCGAGCGTGACGAGAGGCTTCAACTTCTTGGCGGGTTCCGGCATGACGTAGTCACCCTCGTCGGACGACGCAAGCGGCATCGTGGGTGGAGGAGGTGGTTTCAACGGGGCAGCGGCAGGTGGGCTTGCGGCCGCCTTTGGACTTGGAGGAGGCCACACTGGCGGCGGCGGCTCCTCCTCAAGCAGGCCATGGTCGATGGCCGACTGCCGAAGCTTCCCGAGCAATTTGTCGAGGTCGTCTCGCAGGGAGGACAGCTCCACTCTCAGTCGATATCCAACCGTGTAGGCTTCATTGCGTAGTGAATGCAGCGCGGAGTCTGCCCACGCGCGGGCGCCCCTGAGCCCCTGCTCAAGGTCCCGCAGCGACACGGCAGTCACCTCCCATCCAAAGAGGCGCTCGGATGCCTCCTTGAGGTAGAGGAGCAGGAGGGCTAGCAGAGCCAAAAGGGCAAGAATGCCCATGGGACCGACCGCCACCTTTGAGCTGCTCCTCGCCCCTGGTATGTACCCGCCAACAGGCGGCAGAGAAGGCGACGTGGGCGGCGGCAGCGCTGGGGGGCGCTTGTAGACAGCCGCTGCACCAATCCCAGTGCCAATAGTGAAGCTGCGGAGGCGCGAACTAGCCATGGGAGCAGCGCGGCCGGCGATGCGGGCGGCTATCGATATCTCGTACCTCCTTCTCTTCGCACACGTGCTTCTGTGGTGCCCGCCCGACCTCTGGTGCTCGCCCGCCGAGAGTGTCTTCTACTCGTGGACAGCAACGAACGCCCTGGAGGAATACTTACAGTATCTCTCGGCCGGCTCACTCAAGGAGCACCTGCGCGGCTTCTGGAACGTCGTCGACGCCCTAAAGTACGCGCTGCTATTGTTCGCCGTCGCGGCGCACGCCATTGCACTCGCGCTGTGGCTCTTCCCACTCGTTCCGCGGGCGATGCTTTATGCCACTTTGGCAAACGGTCGCATCTCTCTCTCCCTCGGGGCCCTTGTTGCGTGCTTGCGATCGCTGTTTGCCATGCTCGCTTATCAGCAGTCATTCGGCGTGCTCTTCATCTCCTGCTTTCGCATCATGGCGGACATCAAGCGCTTCATGGTGATGCTCACAATCGTGATGCTAGCGTTCGCCATCGCCTTTTCCGGGTTGCTGTCGGTTGAGAATCTGGTCGTTCCGAACTCGGCGGAGCCGGACGGCACGCCAGACGAGGCCAACGCGATCGAGCCACGAGCAGCGCAGGAAGCGCGCGGTCCCCCCTGGGCGATCTCATTCTGGGCCATCTTCGGCGAGTCGCTCGGGTGAGTACTTCTTGGCCCGTCTGCTCCGTTCGGTCCACCGGGCGTCCCACCGACCTAGCCCCCCCATCGGGCGCAGGCACGAGACGCAAAGCCAGCCGAGGGTGGTCGCGGTCCTGCTCTGGGTCTACTTTATGCTCTCGCAGTGCGTGCTCATCAACCTTCTCACTGCACTGATGAGCGAGACCTGGGAGCGCGTGAACGAGGCGGCCGACGACGAGTGGAAGTTTCTCTACGTCTCCAACATTGACGAGTTCTTTGGACTACCCCCCGTGCCTCCGCCTTTCAACGCGTGGCTGATCCTCCGCCATCTCTACCTTCGTGACCGGGGCGCGGATCCAGAGATGCTTGCCGGCCGCCGCGCTGAGAGTATCAGCATGGCCGAGGCAGAGCTGCGCAAGCGGTCAAAGATGGCACAGCGCGATTTGGTGCGGAACGAGGCTGCGTCGGAGGGTCGGACCGTGCAAGCACAGCTCAGCGAGCTTGCGATGCGATTGCGAAGAATCGAGCGGTGCCACGCGCGGGCGGGGTAGAGCTCTCTCTAGCGAGGCTGGCGCGTATAGAGGCTAAAAAAGTATCCTAGTGGAGGTGTCCGTTATTATTCATTTATTTACGGGAGGAGACGGATGTGGGCATCTCGCATGGCTACACGACCTGTACATGGCTACACGACACAACACACATGCAGACCTGAGAGAGGCCCCGTGAGCGAGCTCGGCCGAGATGTGGCCCGAGTCCACATTCAGTCAGAGTCCTGCCTCGCTCGTCGTCACGCTGGCTGCCGCTCTCTCTCGCCACGTCGACGTGCCAATCCCATCCGGAAGCTCCAGCTCCGCAACAGCGTGGGCGAGAGCCTCGGGGGAGGTCGTGTCAGTCGCTTGCAACACCGCCTCGCGCATCACCTGCGAGACGCTGCCGGGATTGAGCTCCTCCTCGCCCAGATGCTGCAAGGACGTGGCGATGTGCTCCTCTGCGAGCGCCAGAATTACCAGCGTGAATCGCAAGTTGGCGTCGCTCGGCTCGGTATTGTCTGTTTGCAGTCCAGCCGCTGCAGCCGCGGTTGAGAGCGACGCAGATATCATGCGGTCGCAGACCTGGACGACGAGAGGCAGCGGCAAAGAGTCGCACCAGAGGGCGAGCCACCACTTGATTGTTGCAAAAAACAGGCCAAACCGCACTGCGGCCGCGTCGTGGCCCGCGTCCAGCCAAGTGGGCGCAGGCCTCGTCTCGTCCAAGATGAGCATAAGGCTCTCGAACTCCCGCTCACAACCGCGAAGCTGCGGCACGTAAAAGTCGGGCGGAAGGCGCGCATTCAGGAGCACAAAGAGCGCAAAGGCATCCTCCTCCGCCTGGTCTGCCTCCGCTTCGGCAAGCTCAGCTCCTGCCTCTGCCTGCTCCTTGTCTGGCACCTCTGCCGCCTCCGCTTTGCCTCCGCTCACCAGCCGCGCGCTGCAGGCGAGCTGCAACAGGAAGAGGGCAAGGTGGGACATGCCCTGCGTGTAGCCGAGCGCTGGGTACAGATTGCACCACGCACGTAAGACCCGACGAAGCTGCGCGATTCGCTGGCGCGGCACGGGCAGCCCCTCCGTCGCCATGCAGTGCGAGCGCTGAGGGTCCTTTTCAACTTGTACCATGTCGTCCGCAGTGGCAAGCGCGACTGATAGCTTACTGTACGATGCCATCCCTTCTTGCTCACGCCGCGCGACCTCGAGCCACCTCTCCACCAATGGCCAATGCGTAGCCGCAGAGCGTATCGCGCCTCTTTTGGGTAGCTCGTCACTGACGGCGGTAGCAGGCCCCTCCTTGGCGGTGTCGAGGTGTTGCTTGATGAGCTTCCGATACCCCGCGCGCAAGCGCGCAAGCTCTGAAGCATGGATCCCGGGTGCCGGAGCCGTCCGAGGGCGTCCATTGGCAGAAGCTAAGGGCGTGGGCCTTACTACCTTGGGACCGGTGGGCATGGCTGCTCTCACAGGGTCAGCTTCGGGGGGGGCCTTTGAGCTTGGGCCCTCGCCTTTGGGCCGCCAGAGCCCAGTCACCGGCGGACCATCGGTCCTCGCGCTTGCAATGCCCATCAGCTTCACACGCAGCACATCGCTGGCCGCAAACAGCGCAGGCCGACCTTGCTGGTTGGTCAGTGTTAGGTCAGCTCCCGCCTTGATGAGGGCCGTGGCCGCCTCCACGTGGCCGTGCTGGACAGCAAAGTGGAGAGGGGTACTACCGTGCGTGTTCTGCGCATTGACCGTCGCGCCCAGCCGCAGAAGGCGATCTATAACCGGCAGGTGGCCCGGTCTCGCCGCGGCGAGGTGCAGAGCGGTGCGGGCACGCGAGTCGGCAGCGTCAACATCGTGGATCTGGCCGCCGTCGAGCAGGGCGCAGGCCTCGGCCAAGAGCTCCTCGCTCGGATGCTCGGGAGGGGCCTCAGAAAGAACGACGAGGAGGTCGCGCATCGACTCGTGAGCGAATCGTCGGGAGCAGAAGAGCGAGAGCAGTCTTCGCGGGGACGCAGTCCGTCCGCATGGGCCTCGTTCGCCGCCTATCTAATGATGTGTGTGTACTTTTAGCTTACTGGGAGAAAAGAGAGAGGGGGTTGTGTTCTCTAGGCCCCTAAGGGCCCTACGCGCGGCGTGAGAGCTCGGAAGCGAGCTTTGCACGGCGGTCGAGGATGGCGCGGTTCACCCCCTTCACCGAAGCGATGGTAGGAGATGCGTTCCGCGTGGTGTGACACAAATGAGAGGCGGGAGTGGGGAGGGCTCTCTCTCTTGTTGTATTTTACAACAAAACTCCGTCGCACAACACTGGGCACGGATAGTAGTGTGGCAGTTTGGTCGGAGGGCGCCCGGGTCGCCCCGGAGCGGCCCCGCGCGGGGAGGTGGGACTGGGTGGAGGGCGGGCACCACGCCATCGGGCAGGCCACGCGGGGACGCAGCCGGGGCCAGCGCGCGGCGCTAGAGGGCCGGGCGCAAACTTGTGGCACCTGCACCGGCACCGGCACCTGGGTGCCGCGAGTTTTGGTGGTTCGAAAAGCGGAGCGCGCAGTCCGTTGTGGCTCGAAACGCGATGCCTCCGCCGGGAGACACGGATGGCGCCGTCAGGAGCGACGAGGCTGGCGAGGCGCCGCATTCGGTCGTCGTCCTGCCGGCGACTAGCGATCTGAGCAGTACATTGAGGCCGTTGGTGGAGAGAGATCGTCGCGAGCGAGGTGACGAGGATGGAGCTGTGGGTGTAGCCGGTGGAGGCATGGCCGCGTCGTCCACGACGAGGCGTCGGAGAATGACGAGAAGCGTGACGGTGATTCTCGGGCCGAGGCCGATGTCTCATAGGGAGGAGGTGACTTGTCAGCGCCTTCGCAACGCGGTTCAATTCACAATTGTGGACGAAGATGTACACGGAGATGGGATGGTGCGACGACATGCGGGACAAGCTAGAATCGTGCATGCTTCTACATGCTACATGTACATGTACATGTTCGCACCGCGAGGTTGAACCGAGGTTTATACGGGTGTGGCTCCAGGCGTCCAGGGTCCGGTGCTCCAGGATGCAGCGGCTGCGAACCGGCGCAGTTGTGTCCGCAATGTGCTCTCACTGATGTGGCTCAGCAGGAGGATACGACTGCCGGTGCGAGGTTTTCGGAGATTGCTGCTGACATGTCTGCTAGGATCAGCACGACAGAGCGGCAAGAGCGAGACAACAAGGAGGCGGGGGCGTCTTCGGCTGCTGAGGTTATACGCAGACCGACTGCAGCAAGAGGCTTTGAGGGAGCTTACACACTGACGGCGTTGTCGCTGACGGCGTTGTCGAGCGTGTGTGTGTTTGTGTGCGGGTTTGATGTGTGTGGGTTTGGTAACGTGTGGTAGAGATTTCACGTTGTAGAGCGCCTCTACATCGCTCTACATCGGACTCACATCGTCACGCGGTGGATGTAGAGCTCTACAGCTCTACAGCGCTCTACAGCTCTACAGCTCTACAGCGCTCTACACTCTACATCCTCTACACCCTCCCTCAGCCTGGATGACGAACTCCGCCTTGGGGGGTACCGGTACTCGTGCTGCGTCTTCCGCAGCGCCTTCTGGTAGGGGAGGCAGCATCCGTTGGTGGCCAGCACGCAGCCCTGCTGGCCGCCCTCCGCCGACCTGACCGCCTTCATGCGCACCGTGGCCGCATCGTCCGACGGCGAGATGTCGAGCGAGCGAGCTGGCGATCGATCGTCGGTGTCGTCCCCCGCTCGTCGCCGCCGATGACCGTCATGTCACGCTCGAGCACGTCGAGTGCCCCGCATGGCACAGCCAGCTCTCCATCCTGGCAGTTGAAGTAGATCTTGGATGGCGAGACGATGGCGTAGATGACTAAAAAAAAACGAAACGCCGGAAGCGCCGTCGACGAGACCCATTTACAGCGGCTCCTTATCGTTGAACAGTCGTTGAACATGTCATCTCGCCCGAAGCCCACCGTGTGACCGGCCTCACGCCGGTGACACTCGCCAACGCTCTGGATCACCTACCTGTCGTGTGCGCCGTGTAGGCGCCGAAGCCGGACCCAAAATTCGTTGAGGAGCGCCGCGCAGAGGAGAAGGGCGGAGCGACCGAGGAGAAGAGCTCCTCCAACCCCATCCAGAATTGCTGGGCGTGGGTCTCGGAGAACCTCGGCTGGATCGGCACGGGCAAGAACTACGGCCTCATCGCCTTGAACGTCAGCCCGGGCGGCACCTCGTTTCTGTACGAGTCGGTGATGAACATGGGCGGCGACTTCAAGGAGGGCCTGCTCAAGTGCGCCTTCTTCAAGGACGCCGCGGGCCCGTGGAAGGGCGACACCGACCCGAACAAGGTTGGCGAGATCTGCAACACGGCCGCCAAGTCCGTCGGCTCGCTCAAGCTCTTCGGGGTGCCTGCCCTTCGCCGCCGCCGCCCACTGTGCGTGCGCGCTTATTTGCTAACCGTGCCCCGTCGGCGCAGGCCTGCGGCCCTAACAATGGCCTGGTCGAGGTCTCGGTCGGCCCGCAGTCAATGCCGCTGGCCTATGTCTCCGTGTACAAGCCCGGCATGGGCCTCGTGACGTCGCAGACCTTTGGATCTGTGGCTGGCTTCAGCAAGGACGGGGAGGGCAACGTGGTCGGCCTCACCACCGAGGACGCAGACGGCAACAAGTTCGTCAAGTACCCGCCGGCGCCTACGCCTTGCGGCGGCGACTAGTCGGCACTCGATGCCATGCCGGTCGACGCTGCTACGCCTACGGTATAGACCCGCGTACTCCAACCCTCTGCCTCTCTAAACTCAGTACTCTGCGGCCCCTCTCGAGAGCCCTCGCATGTGCGCATGTTCCATGGCGGCTTTTTCGGTCACGGTGTAAAAATGTGCGATGTAGACCCCGCAACGGGAAACTGCAAACTCACGATCTAGGGCGGGGGCTGGGCGCCGCTAGGACTTGCGGCGCTCACTGGTCGTGGTCCCCCTCAAAGTTGTCAAACCGCGTAAGCCGTAACCGCCGCTCGCGGCTCGGCGCTCGCGGCTCGGGCTCGCGCCGGGAGACGCTCGGCGAAGCCGAAGAAGGGCGAGGAGGGGAGCAGCTCCCATCGGTAGACGGGCGGGCCGTGTGCCGCGCTCCTGCCGCAGCACCACACGTCGAGCCGGCCGGTCGGCCCGTCGAGGACGAGGGTGTGCAGCGTCATGTTGCGGTAGATGGGGAAGGCCTCGTCCCGCGCGTCGCTCAGCCTCGACCTGATGTCAGCCGCGCTGCGGACGGGCGGCAGTGCGTCGACGCGCGCCTGCCTGTGCCGCGAGGAGGGCTCCGGGTCGTCGGCGACTCCGACCTCGAGGCTCTTGAAGGCGTTGAAGTGGGAGTAGTTAGCGGCCCCTGCCGCTCCTCCGCCGCCGCTGCGCCCCTCGCCCGCCACCTCCTCCTCCCTCACCTCTCGCCTCGCGTGCTTGTCGAGGTGCACCTGCGAGAAGGCTCCGAGACGGTTCCGAGCAGGCTCCGAGAGGGCTGGCTGGCGCCTCGCGTGCTACTGCAGCTGCGCCTCCAGGTTCGCCATCCGCCGCTCCACCAGGCTGACCAAGTTGAGCGACGCGGCCGAAGACCAACCAAGCCCGCCCCGAGGCGTGGACAGCGCGCCGACGAGCTCGTCCAAGCTGCCCGCCGCCGCTTCGCCGCCGCCCGCGCCGCAGAGCGCCGCGCGCTGCACGAAGGCAGATGAGAGGCCGCCCGGCAGGTTGCGCTTCGGGAAGAGCGAGTTTTGCGTCAGGTAGAGCCCCCGCGCATTCCAAGACGCGGCCCAGCCGAGCAGCCCACCCGGGTAGACTGCGCCGGCGCACGAGGCAAAGTCGGCGCCGGGTGCGGCGGAATAGGCGACAAAGTACCAGTACTGCCAGATTGGACCCGGCCAGTCCTCGTTGTGCCCGTGCGCAAAGCCCGCGCTGTACCCGCCGGGAGGGACTGCGTACACGTCCGAGCAGTGCCCCGCGTGCCAGGCGCCCGGCGCAGTCGAGCGGAGGCTCTCCAGCTCGTTGATCATCGTCGCTCGCCAGATGTCGTCGGGCGGCACGCCAGCGCCCGAAGCCACGCCCTCCAGCTCCCGGACCAGCTGTGGGAAGGTGGCAGCGTTGTCGCGCTTGAGCTGCGCGAAGCCGGCCGCACCGTCTCTGTCCGTGTAGTTTCTCAGGCCCTTCATCTCGGGCGTGCTGAGCCAGCCGCGGATACGAGTGCCGGCCATGCGCCCCTGCTGCAGCCCGGCGTCAAAGAGCGATGTGGCGCGGATGCGGTAGAGTGGAGGTGGCTCGTACTGTGCCGGCCGCCCCACGGAGGCGTCGGTGAGCGGCATGGAGTTTTTGGGTGCCACAAAAAAGAAATAAGAATCCGCGGCCCAAGGAGGTCGCGGTCGAGTTTCTTTTATTTCTGGGCGTGGGAAAGCGGTGAGTTCGAATGCCACAGAGTTCGACGCCACATCTCTGCTCGATGCTCGCCCTGCACTCACTCACTGGCGGCGTGCGCCCGCCGGCTGCGCCGCAGCCGGCCATGAGCGTTGTCGACATTGCAGCAAACGGCGCCGGCGCTGTCGTCGCCGGCTACCTGGCCGGCGCTGCAGCGGGCCCGGCCATCTCAGCGAGCGCGGCGACCGCGACGGGCCTGCGAAACGGCGCGAGGCCGCCCATGCTGCGAACGAGCGTCGCCGTCGCCGCGATATCCATAGCGCTGCTGGGCTTTCTCGCTTCGGCAGCCGTTACGCTGGGCTTGACTACCCTGAGCCTCGCGCCGTCGTTCGCGAGGCTGCCGCTGCTGGCCCTGATGCTCGCCATCGTCGCGGCGCTCGCTCCCATGACGGCTCTAATCACCGGCACCTTCTTCTCGCCGGCCATACCGTTCCAGGACGAGGACGACGCCAGCGAGTACCAGGACATGCAGGACAGCTACAGGTCGGACCAGTGGCAGCCGCCGAGGCTGTGGAGGGGGCGGAGGG